TAATCCCCTCGCGCTGTGACAACACTCGCGGCGGGAGGTGCTCATTCTGCACTCTTTGTCGGCCTCCGGGGAGCTTTTCACCAGGCCTCGCGAGCGTCAAGAAGCGGCTCGGCGGAGGAAGAGCCAGTCCTGGGGAAGGGGTCCGGACCTCTGGGGGTCGACGTTGTGACAAACAAAAAAAAACACGTCGTCGGGGGTCTGGGACTTACTCAGTGTCGTGCCGACTTCGGCGTTGGTTCCTGACACCGCGGGGATCGTTCAATCTTGAACGATCGTCCTCCTCCTCCTCCTGCTCCTCCTCCTCCTCCTCCTCCTCCTCCTCCTCCTCGTCATCGTCATCGTCATCGTCATCCTCATCGTCCTCTCCCTCCTCCCCCCCTCCCCTCCTCCCTCCTCCTCCTCCTCCTCCTCCTCCTCCTCCTCCTCCTCCTCCTCCTCCTCCTCTCCTCTGAACGATCGGCCACTTCCGAAACGTCAGATCGTTCCACGCCGACCGGTTCTGGGCCGCTGGCCGCGTTCAAACGTCGAACGCCGGCGGCGGGGTCGCCGCCGGTCGACACGGCGCGGACCTACCGTACACCCGTCGTGCTGCCGTGAGGAACGCCGAACAATAGAGGGCAGAAAACCCACCCCGATAATAACCACCCCGACACGTGAAGCCGTTTAGCAAACGCGCCCAAATAAGGAATCAAACAGGGCAGGGCTGTTAAGTAAACGCCAGGGGCCGTTCAGCAAACGCCAATTCTCGGGTCCGGGTGGTTTTCCTCCCTTGAAGTAAGCCGAGGATCCTCAGAATATGCGTTAGCGTTAGGTCGGGCATGTCCTCCTGCAGGCGGATTCTGGGCGAAGATGAAACATATACCAGAAAGTGCTCAAACAGAATCAGAAAAAGTAGGAACATCGTCTCTCGATTATTTCCCAACCATCCTGTGTTGTTGGGTCCTCGTTTTGAAAAGACACCGCCCGCGTCTCCTTCCTTCCTTCCTTCCTTCCTTCCTTCCTTCCTTCCTTCCTTCCTCCTCCTCCTCCTCCTCCTCCTGCTCCCTCCTCCCCATCCTTTTGCTCTCCGCATGTCTCTGCTTCGGTACACCACTCACACGTTTCGTGGCCCCACAGGGAGCTCCACCTATGGCCCCGATTGCGCAGCCCGCATGGCGGCGCCGCCCCATTTTGGCACACCCCTCACACGTTTCGTGGCCCCATAGGGAGCTCCACCTAAGGTCCCAGTGGCGCAGCCCGCATGGCGGCGCCGCCCCATTTTGGCACGCCCCTCACACGTTTCGTGGCCCCATAGGGTGCTCCATCCAAGGTCCCAGTGGCGCAGCCCGCATGGCGGCGCCGCCCCATTTTGGCACACCCCTCACACGTTTCGTGGCCCCATAGGGAGCTCCACCTAAGGTCCCGGTGGCGCAGCCCGCATGGCGGCGCCGCCCCATTTTGGCACGCCCCTCACACGTTTCGTGGCACCATAGGGAGCTCCACCTAAGGTCCCAGCGGTGCAGCCCGCATGGCGGCGCCGCCCCATTTTGACACACCCGCCTGGTCGGAGGTGAATGTTTAGGGCCCTTCAGTTTTCGGTGCGAGGTGAGTCGTTCGGGCCCCGCAGTTCTCCGTCGAAGGTGAATCGCTGGGGCCCCTCAGTTCTGGGTCGGAGGTGAATCGTGCGGGCCCCTCGGTTCTCGGTCGGGGGTGAGTCGTTCGGGCCCCTCAGTTCTCGGTCGGAGGTGAGTCGTTCGGGCCCCTCAGTTCTCGGTCAGAGGTGAGTCGTTCGGGCCCCTCAGTTCTCGGTCGGAGGTGAGTCGTTCGGGCCCCTACGTGTTGTGGCCCCATGGCCCATAGGGAGTTCCACCGAAGACGATCTCACAACTGCGGCTCTCACAACTGCGGCGCGCAAAATTGCACGGGCTGGTCATCGTAATCATCACCACTATCCCCTCGCACGTTGCGCGGCCCCATAAAGGGGCTTCACCCCAGTGGCAGCGCCCGGATGGCGGCAGCGCCCCGTTTCGGCGCACGCCTCACACACGTTTGGTGGCCCCATGAAGGGGGCTGGAATGCAGGCCTCAGTGGCAGCGCCCGCATGGCGGCCCCTCCCCATGTCGGCACACCCTTCACACGCTTCGTGGCCCCATGAGGAGATCCACCGAAGGCGATACTGACAACGACGGTATCTACAACTGCATATGGTTGGGTCCTTCGCCAGGCTAATTTTAATTACTTCTGAATACTCCTCTTGTAGAGGGACACGCCCGACTTAATTTAAATAACATTAGAACGTGCGCTGGCCCACCGAAGTCCTGCAGTACGACGCGGGCGGTGTTGTGAGGGCTGGCGCAGGCTGCGCACCACGTCGGCGGGACTGCGCGCGGCGAGCACACGCCTCCTCCTCCTCCTCCTCCTCCTCCTCCGCCTCCGCCTCCTCCTCCTCCTCCTCCTCCTCCTCCTCCTCCTCCTCCTCCTCCTCCTCCTCCTCCTCCTCCTCCTCCTACTGGCCCCCGCTCGGTGTTGCGAGGGCTGGCGCAGGCTGCGTACCACATGGGCCAGCGTGCCTTCTGAGGATCACCGGAGGAGGAAAGAGGGGGTCTCCCTGGCCACGGCGAGCCAGGGCCACGAGCGGGTCCTCTGGAGCGGCCCGTCCACCCGAGCCTCCGGTGGCCGCTCGCCGCCACCGTGCCGACAGCAGCCCCCCGAGCCCGAGGCGGTCCTATCCTGTCGGCGGCTTGACTGCGCCACGCTCTCGGGGGGCCTCGGCGCGGGCCTGCCGCGCGTCGGCGCGGGCCGGGTGGGCGTGCAACGGGGAGGGCCCAGACCCCCGACGCCGTGATTTTCTTCGCAACGTCGACCCCCCGAGGACTGGACCCCTTCCCCAGGACAGATTTTTCCTCCTGGGTCGTTCTGCGACGGTCCCGAGGCCCGGCAGGAGCCCCGGGAGGCCGAAAAGAGCGACAAAACCTCCCGTCGTGTTTTTTGTTAACCACGTGAAAGGGTCTGGGGGAGCGGCAATCCAGGGGGGGGGGGATCGAGGGCTGCAGCACAATACAAAGTGGACCCGACGGGGCCCCAGAGGGCCTCCCGAGCTGCCACGCCGCGCCCAAGAGGTGCCGTTCTTCCCTCGGGCGCACGCCAGCAGGGATGCCGGATGCCGAAGGGGAACACACACGCACACAAATGAATAGACACAAGTAACCTGATCCCCCATCTTGTCCCATGTTTCTGGGGATCTCCGTCTGCCCCCCCTATATTTTCCAATATATTTCCCCTCTGCTTTCCTGGGAATCGACGCTTCGTTGCGTCTGTGTGTGCGTCTGTGTGTGACTTTCCCCTCCTGGGGATGCGGGCTCCGTGGATCTGGCGCGCGGGCGCCGGGCCCGGGGATCGGCAAGGTGCCCCCCGAACCCCGTGCGGCGACGGAGCGGCCCGGCTGCGCACGGGCTTGGGGGCCCGTCGGGAGTCCACGCGCCGGGACTCCATGCGTTGCGCTTCCTCGATTCCCCCGGAGGAGGAGGAGGAGGAGGAGGAGGAGGAGGAGGAGGAGGAGGAGGAGGAGGCTGCGACGGCAATCGCCTGAGGAGGAGAGGCCCGCGCGAAGACCTCCGCAGGCCTGGTGGTGCCCCCCCCTGGTGCGTCCGGTAAACTTTGAGCGGAGCTCGTAGCGTCGTGATGCGCCGTTCTCTCTGCTCTCCCGCATGTGACCCACAGGACGGCGCCCTTCTGCACGCACAGCGCCGTGGCCTGAGGGAGAGGGGGGGTGGGCAAGCATTGGCGATGAGCCCAGGGGCGGGGGGAAGTCAGACAGGGCCGGCCTTCAAGACTCGGACGGCCTCAAGCCTTCTGAGACGCTATATTGAGGTTCCCCCGAAAACGCAGCAACCTGCTCACTTCCCCCCTTTGGCTCACCGCCGAAGGAAAGGTGCCGACACCGCCGCGCCCCAGACCTCTCCTGGGGTGCGCTCTGACCAGGGCCTCGAGGCGGATCCAGCAGCTTAGAGGGCCGGGGAGCCTGGGCTGCATGGGCCCCGAAGAGATCGGCCACGGGGCGGACGAGGGCAAATCCGCTCGACATCGGTTCCTGGACGGTCCGTGAGGGTTTGCCCCAGCGTTTGGACAGCATCCTCTGCAGCGTGCCCATCCCCGCCCACCTGGCGAAGTGCCCCTCTAGCTCTCCCGCCTCTCAAAACGCATCCTTCGGATCGGCGGGGTCCACCCGGGGTCCAAGCGATCTGCCACCCCGGATCCGCTTCTGACGGCCCCGGGCCGCCCGCAAGTGGCCCCCCGGATGCCGAGAAAGGCAAACAAAAACACCGTGTCGAATCTCGGTTGTACGCAAGAGTGGCCACACCTGGGCGCGCAAGCAGCTGCTACTGCTTCGTTCTCGGCCCTCTGAGGACCCATCCGTGCCCGCACCAAAGGCCACTCCGGCGAGAGGTCACTCTGACGTCTATAGTCGAGAATCCAGCGCCTCGGGCCTCGCACCCCCGGCCTGCTGGCGCCGGAGCCGAGCCTGGGCCACCTATGGGGCCTCCGACCGCCTGCAAAATCCAGCCGTGGCGACGAGGGGCCTCCAGGGCGAGCAGCGGCGTCCGAGTGCAGTCGGACCCAGGACGGGAGGACATCCTGCAGGAGCACGGGACCCTCCGCCCGAAGAAACGCCCCCGAAACCCTACGATCCTTCGAGGGCGCCCCCGCCCCCAAGATGCACAAGAACATCCAACGAGCACGAGGAACACCTCGATACCGCTAGCCCCCGGACCTCTCCTGGGGTGCGTTCTGTCCAGATTTTCGAGGCGAGTCCAGCGGTGGTGGCGATGGCCTCCCAGGAGGCCCGAAAAGGAGAATGACGGGCGAAGGGGGTACCTTTGCCTCCTCTGAGGTCTATCTGTTTCTCCTCCGACGGCCTCCCGGGAGTGCCAAGGCGCCAGCGCCTGGAACGCGCCCGTGATGCGCGTCTGCGGCGCCGCGCGCGAGCCCACGGCCGCGTGCGCCGGCAGCGCCGCCGCGGCCGCCTGCGGCGGGGACGGCGCGGCCGCGTCCTGGGAGCTGCTGGCGCCGGCCGGCGCCGCGGCTGCAGCGGCAACCTCGGCGTGCACCTGCAAACGGGAGGACCAGGATGACGCCGCCGCCGACGACGCCGCCGCCGACGCCGACGACGACGAAGTCACGATGCGATCGGCTCATGGTGCGTTCCAGGGACCCTGGGGCATCTAGCGACCCTTGTTTCTGGATTTCCCGCGGGACACCTGGAATTATGGGGAATCCTAGAACGCATCATCATCATCATCATCATCATCATCATCATCATCATCATCATCATCATCATCATCATCATCATCATCATCAGCAGCATCAGCAGCAGCAGCAGCAGCAGCATCATGGTCATCATCATCATCATCATCATCATCATCATCATCATCATCATCATCATCATCATAATCATCATCATCACCACCACCATCAGCATCATCATCATGATCATGATCATCATCATCATCATCATCGTCATCATCATCAGCAGCATCATCATCATCACCATCACCAGCATCATCAGCATCATCATCATTATTATTCATCATCATCATCACCATTATCATCACCATCATCATCACATCATCAGCATCAGCATCAGCATCGGCATCAGCATCGTCATCATCAGCATCATCCTTGATATCATCATCAGCATCAGCATCAGCATCCTCATCAGCATCATCATCATCATCATCAGCATCATCATCATGGTCATCATCATCCTCCTCCTGATCATCATCTTCAGCATCGACATCATCAGCATCGACAACATCATCAGTATTATCAACATCGCCATCGTCATTAGCATCATCGCATAATCATCACAATCAGCATTATCATCGCCACCTTCATCGTCGTCGGCATCACGAACCAGCAGCATCACCACCATCATCATCAGCAGCAGCATCATCAGTATCATCATCACCACCACCATCACCATAGACATCACCAGCCCCATCATCTGCATCATCATCAGCAGCAGCAGCATCATCAGCATCAGCATCAGCATCGGCATCAGCATCGTCATCATCAGCATCATCATCATCCTCATGCTCATCCTCATCATCCTCATCCTCATCCTCCTTCTCCTCCTCCTCCTCATCATCATGGTCGTCATCGCCATCAGCATCATCAGCATCATCGGCATCATCAGCGTCATCGTCACCAGCATCATCAGCGTCATCATCATCATCATCGTCACCATCACCATCACCATCACCATCACCATCACCATCATCATCATCATCATCACCATCATCATCATCCTCATCATCATCATCATCATCATCATCACCAGCATCATCAGAATCACCATCACCATCACCATCGTCACGATACCTTACTCCTCTGAAGTGGGAGGGTCGGCAGAGGGAGATCCGCTGGCAGACTGCAGCTCGTTTTTCCAGGCGCCCCGAGCCACCGCCAGGCGCGCCTATGCATCGAGGACGGGGCGAGTTAGGGGGGCCGAGAGCAAGTGCACGCGGCAGATTTCGCCCCCCCCCCCCCCCCCCGACGGCCCCCCCGCATTTCCACTCTACCCATGACGGCGACACCAAAGCAGAAAAATACCGAGCCGATAGCTGAACCGACGCCACCCGAACCCGACGGACCGAACGCAGCCCAGAACGAAGCAGCGGCGCGGAGACCGACCGAACCAACCCGACTGCGAAGCAGCCGAAAAGACAGAACGACTCGAACTCCCTTGCTATACACCGCAAAGGTCCCCCCCCACGCCTTGCACACTTTCAAGTGCGTCGCGTAGTCGTGCATGGCCCCCCGCCAGTCGCATCTCAAGCCTGACGCCTTCGCTCTAGCGGCCTCGCTTGTCAGCGGCTTGCTCTCCAGGAGCTCTGGGTTGTATGCGCATTTGACCTTCATGCCGGAGTAGAGCCGGTGTAGCAGCGCCAGGGCGCCACCCCTCCCGTTGGTGCCCTCGAAGCGGACGACCTCCTGAGATCTCACCGCCTGCTCGCAGGTGGGGCAGGAGACGTTCGGTCTCTTCTGCTGCACCCACTGGTTGAAACAAGTGGAACAGAACATGTGCGCACAGGGCAGCATCAGCGGAGAGCGCACCACCAGGTTGCAGATCTTGCAGACAAACTGGGCGTACTCGCCGAGGTCTCCCACCTTCTGGGTGACCAGCTGCTCTGGGAACACCACGACGCCGTCCCCCCCGCCGGCAGGGGCCCGAGAGGAGGAGGACGGCGATGGCCGCGACACCACGCTCCCGTCTGGCGAGTCCACCAGCTGCCTGGTGGCACTCCCGAAAAGGGTACGGGCAACATAGGCACATTGCCCGACAACAAGCGTTGTCCAAAATCGACAGCGGCCGCCGTCGGGCAAGCGACTCTTCACCTCGAGCGGACAGCGTCCGTGGCGACGCCGACAGCGAACCTGGTTCAAAAAGGACAGCATCTGCTGTCGGTCGTCGTCCCCAGTCTTAGATCTGAAAAGGGCATGAACCGAAACTTTCGGAGGTCCGCGCGGATGTCTTGGGTCTGCTTTGGGCCCTTCCCTAGCGCGCGGAGCGTGCCAGGGGCCGGAGGCGCCGCCAGGAGGGCCCAGTGCCGATCCAAGCAATCCGCGCGGAGCTCCGAAACTTTACCCCGATGGCAATTTGTTCCTCTTCGAACTCTTTCCGCACCCGTGTCTGATGAAAGAACACCACACACCCAAACCTGTAGGGAGGAAGAGCGGGGAAGGGCGAGCCGATGAAGCCACTGTAAGGATGAATGCGAGCTGTCGGACCCCGCGGGGGGCTCCCGTCCGAGCGCAGGTCCCCATCCGACAACACACACCCATACTGCGAGTCTCTGGATTGCCGCAAGCTGCGTTATTTTTGGCGACGGTCCCATCTCACAATGCCCTGGACGTGAAATACTAAAGTCGGTGATCTTTATTTTGGCGACGGCGCCTTTTGTGAACCACTAAGTGCCCCCTGTGCGCCATCGAGACTTGGCAAGGTCCTGGCACAATAATCGCTCACGCGCAAACCTACCCTTCGCACTGTTTGGTTTGGCGGTGTTGTCGTCAACAACTGTCCAACGGAACAGACTAAGACTCAGCGACATATGAGATAGCAGGAATACACGTCGATCGGAAGAAGTAGGTAAACACATGAAGTAGGAAGGCGGACAAACTTGATTGTTTTCGGCCACCCCCAAAGAATAACAAAACACAGCAAAAGCAGATCGATCCTTGAAGTAGGAAGGCGCTCGACGTAGACTGGGCCCTGAGCACCTAACAACACCTGCTTTCAGCGACCGGCGCGCAGTCCGTAGTCACCCCCCCAGAGCCCCACCCCGAGAAGTCTGGAGGTCGCGTAGGTAGGGGCGCTCTTTGACAGCTCGCGAACTGAAGCATCAGATCGGGCGTGTCCTCCTACCGGCGGATCTTGGACGACAACCAATAACTAGTCAACACATATTCAACACCTGTCGAAAACATACAGTGCGGGCGCGGCCGCAAGAACGCCTCGCAAGAAACCAAACCCTGAGAACCCGTGCCCGAGGTGCACCTGACGGGAAACCTGGACACCCTGAACGCAGCAGCTCCTTCAACGGCTGCGGGAAGTCACCGCGCAGTGCGAGGAGCGAAGCCACCCAGGATGCCCTGACGAAGAGCATATTGTTTTTTTGATGCGCGCCCCCACTGCAGTCGGAAAATCGTCCCCGGACTATTTCTTTATCTTTTGTTGAAGGCTTCCCCTGTGGAGGGACATACCCGACTTGCCTGTCGCATCAGGGAAGCGGGTCCTGTGGGCACCGGGCCCTGGACCCCCGGGCCTCCCCCCCCCCAACAAAGAAAACGGGACGCGGCCTCCGACGGCCGCGGGGAAGCCGCGAAGGCGCCCCGGGACAGCCCAGAGACGGTCGAACACCTCCCCGAGGAGGAGGAGCGGAGGAGGAGGCGAGAGGAAGAGGAGGAGGAGGAGGAGGAGGAGGAGGAGGAGGAGGAGGAGGAGGAAAGGAGGAGGAGGAGGAGTAGGAGTAGGAGGAGGAGGAGGAGGAGGAGGCGGAGGGGGAGGGGGAGGAGGCGGAGGGGGAGGAGGAGGAGGAGGAGGAGGAGGAGGAGGAGGAGGAGGAGGAGGAGGAGGAGGAGAGAAGGTGGCGGAGGCGGAGGGGGAAGAGGAGGCGGAGGAGGAGGAGGAGGGGGAGGAGGAGGAGGTGGAGGAGGAAAAGAAGGAGGATGAGGATGAGGGGGAGGAGGAGGAGGAGGAGGAGGAGGAGGAGGAGGAGGAGGAGGAGGAGGAGGAGGAGGAGGAAGCGGAGGATGAGGGGGAGCAGCAGGAGGCGGACGAGGAGGCGGACGGGGGGGAGGAGAAGGAGGAGGCGGAGGAGAAGGACGAGGAGTACAAAGCGAAGCGGGAGGAGGAGGAGGCGGAGGAAGAGGAGGAAAAGGAGGCGGAGGAGGAGGAGGGGGAGGAGGCGGAGGAGGAGGAGGATAACATAAGATGAGAGCACCGCTGACGCCATCTGTCCCTGATGAGTATCTGGCAAGCGTGGCAGCGCTGAGACGCGCGACGTGCGCCAGCTGGAGCGATTGAGCAAGCGCGCGGGGCTGGGCGTCCAGCCGCGGGCCTGCGAGCGCCACGGCCCATGGATGGCCCAGACGTGGGCTCGATAGCCTGGGCCGCTTCTTCAGTGCCCGGTCAGACAGAGCGGCTCCTATCGGGAACGGAGGTGCGAGGTCCACTCACCACCCCGTTCTGTCCACCGCCCCTTCCAAACGAGGGCGCATTGGCTAGGAAAGATGGGAAGAGGGACCAACCCCGCCATCCGGGGTACTTAGGAGTGTCTACCCGCCTTTAGCGGGCCCAGGGCGCGCCCCCCCGAAAAACTTCGGCACACTTGGACGACGCTCCGTCACCGCAGGTGACAGGGATTGGAGAGCAAGGGAAAGAGAGCAGCAGCAAGGTGACACCAGCATCCTTCGATGCAGCTGTTGCCACCGACGCGCTGGCGCTCCAGGCCCAAGTATGAAAACGATTCAGATAGTTGTGATGACAATTCATGTATGAGAAGATCCCCCGCATGATGCGAGGCACTCCAGGTCCCAAAAGTATGTCAACATGTAAACGCGAAGAATGAATTCGATATCAAAAATGAGCAGGGGTAAAATGCAACGCGTCACTCGTGCACAGACGCCGTCCCATGATACAGAATAGACGCCCATCTTGGATAATATTACTGGCGAGCGTCCTGCCTGGGTGCGTTCATGGTCGACTGCCAGAATGTATCGCGTGAAGTGAAATAATTTCGAAAGGCAATGTAAAGTCACATATCACAAATCGAATCTCACAGATGTCAATGTGTGTCAACATACATATGAATGATGAGCACAATGATGTCAATCTGCTCCAGAACGCGACCGGATCTGATCTCCAGCCGCGATCTGATCGCGAGCCTGGTGTGCTGAGGCCGTGCCCTGATGTTATTGCAGCAATGTCTCCGACCTGCGGCGAAGCTCCTGGCCCAGTGCATCTTGATCACTGGCGTCGCCCATGCCGTCGCCGCAGTCGAAGCGCAGCACTTCCATGAATTGTTCCTGAGTAGGAGCAACGGCCGAAGCTGTGCTTCCGGGATCGGCAGCAAGGTCGGCGGCATCATCAGGCGGCTGTGTGGCGTCAGCCCTGAGGTTGAATTGATCTCTCATTGGGTCCGTCAGCATGTTAGTGCACTTCGGATCGGCGAGCACCGACGTTTTCCAGATGTTGTGGAGAGTCGCCAAAAAGGGGTTATTCCTGAGGATGTCCAACGCACAGGTATCCACCAAACGATGTGTGGCAGCGCTCTGTGCGATGGCGAAAAGATGTGGTACCCACCCCGGGATAGTGCGACATCCCATGCATCACTTCATTTCGTCTCCGTCATCATCGTAGAAAGGACGCGATTGTGCCCGCGAGAGTTAGGCAGCTGTTTGGCCCATGGGCTGAAAAAGGTCGAAGTGCATCTTATACCAGTCGGCCTTATGGTCGAAACGGAACCGTATCTCGAGATGACTGTCGTAGTGGTATGTGTTGTCCACGTATGTTGCCGTACGCATGTGATCCACCACGCACTGTGGGGTGATCAACGCTGGGATGCCCTGGGCATCCTTGCCAGTCGCACGGATGCTCGCGAGAGCATCATCCGAGAGTCCGGCAAAGGTAACCGGCAAGTCTTCGATTATTTGGAATGTCGTCAGGACCTTCGTCGCATCGATCTTAATATCCCGGCTGTCGTTATATTCGAGCGCGGGCGCATCCACCGACGCGTCGGCGAGGATGTCGCCGTCGGGGGGCCCAGGGTGCACGTCGCAATGGTATGACATGAAGTGGTCAAACAGCTCTTGAACCAAGTCAGCGCGTAGCTGCGAGTGGGATACCGCTCTGGTCGTGTTTCCTCTCGGAGTACCAAATATTGGCCCAGAGGGTCCATGGCCGTGGCATGGTATATGTGCGCTGACGTATGGTCCGCTCTGAGCAAAGTCTATGATAGGTCAGAAGATCTGTTCTTTTTCCAGCGTGAGCGTGATTTCCTTCTTTGCTGGATACAGGCGGTCAACGGCGCGGCAACGGGAAGAACCGTGCAGACGTGTGTTAATGGAGTCACCTGCGCGGATGTCTCCAAAGCGTGTAGTACGATCCCAGGTGCCCAGAGGAAGCGTCTCCACACGTGGTTCGAAGTATTGCTTCTTGCAACCACCCACGATCTTCCACCCATGGATGGTGTTCAGGAGGATCAGGTCGGTCGGAGTCGGTGCACGTGTTGCCGCCGGCTCCATTCCGAATAGGACTCGATCCAATTGGGCATATCCTTGTGGGTTGATTGGTTCATTGGATGGCTGCCTCAGCCCTGGTGGGTGTGGAATATTCGCTGCAGCAGTGGATGGTGAGGAACGCATCCGATCCTCGGCAGCCACAGAGCCGCGAGGCATGGGCTTGGGGCGTGGCGCAAGGATGAGCGTCCGCAACTGTTCTGCTGCAGGTGTCACCGCCGGCACAAGATCGCAGACTTCGCACTGACTGCGTGGTGCCGGGAGTTTGGCCACAGCGGGATACTTCCGTGTCGTGATCATGTCTGGGCAAAGAAACCTCCCCTGACCACTCTGATGGCAAGGATGGCCATCGGGATAGTTTGGGGGCAAATAGTGGCCCCTTGTTCACCGAGCCAGAACTCACAGCCCGCCATGGAGGCGGCCCGCCTGGGATGATACCGATTTTTCGGATATTGTCCCAGGCGTCACGCGTAGTGGCGCGGTGCAGGGATTTTAC